CCAGACGGCCGGGCCGTCCGAAAGAGGATCAGCAGGTAGGGGCATCTCTCTCAGATTTCAAAACAAATTGTTGTTGAAACATGCTTTTTGTTGTTGCTTAAATATATCTTTAAGTTTTTCTATCCATTTCCTAACATTATACAGCAAAAAAAGACATCACTTTTAAAAACATACGTATACATGTATATGTTTTTACACACACACACACACACACACACACACACACACACACACACACAGTCATTGTTATAGAAGATTTATAGAGATTTACAGAAACTCCACGGCCAATCAATGAAACAGAAAAGGAGTTACACTCGGTACTCATTTAATACTTAGAAATCCCAATGATTTAACACAGAAGACTACATTCTACTCAACTGGAGGAAGGGCAGTTAAAAAACCAAAACACTCTCCCATCAAAACAGACCAAATGGGCAAGTGGCGGCCTTTGGACCCGCAGCCCTAAAACACAAGGTTGGCTGGGATGTCAGAGAGAGAGAGAGATCCTGCTAGTTTTCAGAAGTGGAATAGAAAAAAACTAAAGCATTTCCAACGTGCAAAACCCGAGGATAGCAGTTCTCTGAGGCTCTCGCCGACTCCGTGTTAAGGTGCAGGGCCCTAGGGGTTGGAGCCATGCTTGCAGAATGGCTTCAGCCTGGCTAACCTGGCCAGGTGGATGGCCCAGATGGCTGGCAGGCAGTCCAGTCACCTACCCACTGAGGTGGCCCCTTGCTCCCATGTGTGTGCCACTCCGTGGCTCGGTCCCTCATCCCTAGGGCCACAGCAGCCACCTGTGCCTAAAACGCAATGTGACCACACGTCGAATGCACAAATGGCAGCTGAGACCTCGTCAGCATGGCCAGAGGCTCACTCCCATCGAGAGAGCGAGATTCTGACCTATGCTGGGTGACGTCACAACTTGGGCAGATCTTGGGGTACGGGAGCATTTATAAGTAACTGCCATAATGACACACAAACCAAACCCCGGAGCGGCAGTGGACACTCTTTGGAGCTGCTCTGGGACCCCAGCCATCATTCAGTGACCACGGTGTACCACCGAACTACCTGAGGCTGGACGCTAGGGGACAACTCTGGAGAGAAGAAAGCCATGCCCTCAATGCCAGCATAGCCTATGTATGCAGGTTCAAATCCTGCCTGCTCCACATCCGACCCTGCTCCCTGTTCATCACCCAGGAAAAGGGGCGGAAGGTGACCCAAGCGCTTGGAGAGGCGCCATGAAGCTCCTGGCTTCAGCCTGTCCGACCACGGCCGCTGCACCATTCCAGGAATGAACCTGCAGGTGCAAGATCTCTGGCTCTCCCTCTTTGTCCGCAACTTAGCTTTTTCATGTAAATACTCTTTTTCAAAAAAAACTGAGAATAGGACCCCTGAACACAGCTTGCTACCTATTTTTAGAAATGCTATCAGAAAAGGTTTTGAAGTAGCTATCACTTTAAAGGTGACTAGATCTCAGATAGAGCACATGACACATCACGTCAATCATTTCTTTCTGTGATTATATGGATTAGCATTCATGTAAGGTTACTTGAAATCAGAAGCCAAGACACACTCACCCAATATTGACTTAACTGATTGCTACCGAAGCTCACGGCAGAGAGCATGGTTTATGGCAAGGAATAACGGATGGAGTGGGGAAAAACCCGAAGGGCCCCCGTGGGGTTAAAGCACACAGTTGGCCTGGCAGTTGCCCTAGATCTGGGACTGACCTTAGCCTGTGACTTTGCATGCAACCACAGGGACCACAAATTCTTAACCAAGTAGCTCGGGTGACCATAGGACCTTGGGGCTCCTCTGCCCTGGCATCCCCAAGGGGCTAGGAGAGAAGCACACCCACTCGGGGAACACTGTGGGAGGTGTGTTTGCAGGCTTTGGAACTCTGTTCTCTTCCCAGTTCCCACTGGCCGGGAAAGCAAGCCACTCTTCTCCCCTCCAGAACCCCCAGCCTGTTAGAACTGAGCACTTCCCTCACCCACACACACCGTGGGTCAGCAACTCCATGAACCACTGCGACAACGCATCAGCATGGGCTTTCTAAAACTGGCCTTTGCTTTTCCATGGAGACTCCCCTGGATCCATTGCAAGCGCCAGGCAAAGACAAGCTTCCTGCAGCCAAGGGTGGTCAGAGCCCCCTGGGGGCCCCTGGGCCCTTGGAATGGACCCCAGGGCGTCACGCCAGGCGGCGTCAGCACCATCAAGCCTGACAGGTCGCCTTCTTAACTGTCCTCTCTACAGCCAGTGTCAGGGTATGGTTTTGGAAGTAACACAACTATTTCCACCCCTACCTCCAGCCCCCCTCCCACCCCACTCACCATACTCTACACCTGGGGTTTGGGGAACATGTGGATTTTTAAACCATGTATCCTTCCCAAATCAAGGATTCACCAGCAGTGTCTTAGTGCTGAATCTAGCAAGCACTCATGCGGCAGTCGCTGACTGCAGTCTGCCCGCAGCAAGCCCTGTTTTGAACCAGTTCATGCTTACTCGCTCGCTCTCTCTCCCTCTCTCTCTCTGTATCTGAGGACAGAATGCAAGTCCTCTGACACCTGAGGCAGAACAGGACACACACCGCAGTCCCTCCCAACACACAGAGCCAGTTCAGCCAAAACAACGTCCAAATAAGTGGGCCTACCAGGTCAATCTTGGAAATGTTAAAATGATTGTAGCTTTTGATTTGAATATTTAACGCACGAGACCCTGATCTATAGGAATAACTTGTTTAATTATCTTCCTCCCACCCCAAAAAGCTCATCAGTAGTTGCCTAACTCTGCAAAACAATGCTAGATGTGCCTCACCTGACAGCTCAAGAGTTTCACACACACTCTGTCTCTCTCTCTCGGCCCTCTGCCAGGCTAGCATTTCTTTCTAACAAACTGACACCCACTGAAAAACTGCTCCAAGACCTCCACCCAAGGGGCCAGGACCTATACAATCTGCACTGCACACCCTGCCCCCGCCCCTTCTTGAGACGCAGGGGTTCAGGAATGCTGGGGGAGTATCCGAAGCCCAGGCACCCCACAATAAAGGCCTCCTTCCAAAGTCAGCCCAAGCACAGTCCCTTCAGGGTGGCCAAAGGCACCACCAGCAGTCATTCTGCCCCCAGAGAAAGGCGGCGGAGGCAATCCCCAAGGCCAGGGTCCAAGGACCACGGTGCAGGCCACATCCTGGTTACCCAAAGCTGGGGGGAAGGGAGGCAGGAGGGAGACGGAGAGCCGGAGCCATGACGAGGCACACCTGACTCCACAAAGAGCCCAACCATCCAGGGGGCTGCCCCTGACCTGCTGTCCCTGGCCCACAGGGACACTACGAAGCCTCGGGAAGGGGCAGCCTGACAGAGCAATCCTCTCTGCTCAATCTGCCGCATAAAACACCCCACGCATGTGTGTATGCCTAGGTCTGTTCTTGCACATTCCATGCCTCTGGCCATTCACAGCGGCTGCATCTCACAGCACTGATCCACAGAGAACTGGGAACGGGGAGGGGATGGGATGGGGAGAACGCCTAGTGGGTGTTGTAGTCCCAAATGGAAAGAACACCGACCCACCGGCCTGCACCACCTACAATTAGCCGAATGCTATAACATTTTTAGAAGCAGGTCCTGGTCTCTCTGGTCCATTGCAATTCATGCAAGCTGTCTGCAGGGAGGGCCAGGAGCGAGTCTGCTCGCAGGAGCCAGGGATCAATTAGCACGGCTCCCTTGGAGAAGCAGGGGTGCTGTGGTCAGGCCCCTCCTGGGTGGTAGGGCCTGCATCAGCACCTTAGGGCGCTTCGGAAGGCCTGGGAGAAGTGCCTCACTACACAGATGTGGCCCTTCTGAAGTGTCTACAAGCTTCTCATTCGACTCGTGGCATTTTGGAAACGCTGATATAGACAAAAGACTCCAAGTGGAGATCAAAGGAGCCTATGCACAGCACCCCTGGGTGCTGGGCCCCCCACCCTGCTCCCCTGCGGCTCCCACTCAGGTGCAAAAAGTAGGCAGAGCAAGCAAGCTGCTTCAGGGGTCCCATGACTGCCACCCACCACCACAACAGACAGGGCACAGGCACACACACCAAGTCGTTCTAGGGAGAATCTTCTGGATTGTGTCCCAGTGCCACACACACCCAGAAGGGCCATGCCCTGAGAATCCCGTCTTGGGAGGCCTTCCTCGCTCAGGCAGGTGTGTGTGGGACCATGGCACTTGTCTGCCCCTGCAAGAGGGGAGGAAGCCCATGGCTTGCTAAAGGCCGGACCACAGCTGCTGTGTGAATCTTGCTCTGGGAAACCATGGGGGTGGCAGCAAGCAGGGTGGAACTGGCAGGGAAGCCTGGGGGTGGCAGTGAGTGGGTGAGACCACCAGGGAAGCCATGGGGGCAGCAGCAAGGGGTGGGACAAGCAGAACTCAGGTGTCCAGCCTCCCAGTCTATACCACCTGCTGTGTTCTACAGGTAAGGACCCTGGGTGCTACACCAGCTGTGGCGAGAGGGATCAACCCAGAGGCCCCCAGAGCCAGGAAATCACCGACCACAAAACCTCCCAGGGAGTGACTGCATCTCGCCCTCCAGGCACCCCCACACCAGCTCCCAGGGCCTCACTGCATCTCCCCCTCCGGGCACCCCCAAACCAGCTCCCAGGGCCTCACTGCATCTCCCCCTCCGGGCACCCCCAAACCAGCTCCCAGGGCCTCACTGCATCTCCCCCTCCGGGCACCCCCACACCAGCTCCTGCTCTACATCATCACACGGCCCCTCCCACAGCTGCACTTGGCAACCTGTTACTGCAGCTCGCGTGTGCGTCCAAGGCACCACTCAGAGCAGGAATGACCTCCCACCCCGGGTCCTGCGGTCAGGGCACTGCAGAACAAGGCATCAGTTCCCTCTTCTCACCACCAAACCACAAGGCCCTCGCCAAGGTCAAAACAATCATGCAAGCGCTCTCTGCCCAGCCTCCGGGGAGCCTGGCACCGCGGCTGTCACACACGCAGCCCCAGCAGTGGACTCACTGTTCACGTAGACATGGAAGGCCACGGAGGCGCTGACGTCAGAGTTGGACACGAGAAAGGTGTAAGTGCCTCCTTCGCTCCCTTTCAACCGCGTCAGGTGAAGCTTGCTCACATACCTGCGAAGCAAATGACCAGAGCTCAGGGTGTTGGGAGAAGGGCGTGGGGACATGGTCCACCTGCTCCAGCGCTGGCCACATCCACCTTTGCCCACGGACGCCCGTTCTCAGCTTACGACACGCGTCTGTGGCAGGGAACGCTCACTTCCAGGTCAAGCGGCCCTGGCCACCCTCAGCACTCCCTTCTTGACCCTCATAAGGGACATATGGTCTCTTCTTCATGGGGACCCTGCCACTGCTGGAGCTTCTAACAAGACCTAGCAGACTAGCTGCTACACTCCAGCCCATGCCAGCTGCTCCTACCCCCAACACCTGCCGTCGTAGTGGGTGCTGGCACACTTGACCTGGCATCCCCACCCCATCTCACAGGCCCAGGGAAGGCTCCTCGGAGCATACGTGTGCTTGAGAGTAGCCAGGCCAGGTCCGCAGGCCAGGAGCCCACTCCATCCTGCCTGGCAAGGCCACCAGTCTTGGTCCCTCCACTCCCTCGAGTTAGGGACCCTGTGACCTCAGACGCCACCTCTCTGGACTCTGACTTGGAACTCGGTGTCAACCCAGAGCTCAGACCTGCAGACCTGCGAATGCTGAATGCTGCGCATCAGACCCCTCCCAGCCTCAGCCACCATCCAGCCGCATTGGTAAGGGGACCTGACACCTGCCAACTGCCCGCTTCCCTCCTCCCTCCCACCTCTAGTGCAGACCACAACCCTTCTCAGCCAATAGCTCCGCACTAAGAAAATGTGGCAAACTCCACCCGGGTGCCTCACCATGATCAATTAACATCACTCCGGTCTGCCTCCGTTTCTGGTATCTAAAACATGGGGGTTTGAATCAGCACACCCACCCCAAAACTCTGTGGGGTTCAACGTTACATGGCGAGCGTAGCTCAGGTGCCCCCTAGCTGACATGCTCAGAAACAGGTGTGTTTGGGGGAGTCGGGTTCATTTCAGATTTGGGGACCACGTGTTGCCACACCTTCATTTTAGTTTTCCTCTGTCACCTGAGATCAGCTGCAAAACCCTCCATCTGGGGCACCACGCTAAGGTCCACCCCAGGGTCAGGTGGGCGTGTTTGGGATTGCAATCTGCACGCTAGTGACCGTGACCGCACAGCCCACACCTCACAGAAACGAGCACGCTTGGCTTGTCCCACACGCAGCTCGACCTTGCTGCTGCTTCACGCCTGCAGCTTTCTGAGGGGCAGGAGAGGGAACTGACCATGCCCAAGGCCACCCACCTGTGGCAAGACAGTCCCTTGCGATGTCTTGAGTTGGTGACCATGCCAGAGCTCCAGGAAGCAAACGCTGTCCACTTGACAAGTGTGGAAACTGAGGCACACGAACCGGCAGTGGCAGCCCCACGTGCGCCCAGGGGCCGGGCAGGCCCCCCTACTCACCTGATGTTGCTCTCATTCTCAGACTCGGGGTAATCTTCCCACTTGTTCGTGGAGGTGCGGTTCATGTACACCCACTGCTGGTGCTTGGGGCCAGGGAACGCCTCGTACTCCACGACCAAGTCCACGTTCTCCCCGTCGTTGACAAATATCGTCGTGTTCATCCCGGGCAAGACGTGGATGAATCCTTTGTCTGCCGGGGAGAGCGCGAGGCAGAAAGGAGTCATTGGCCGTGGCGACTCAGCGGAACTCAAGCCCGTTTGGGAATTTGCGAAAGCAGAAGACAGCAAAGCCTAGAACTTCCTAAGCTCTCGGGTGACATTCACTTCTGTTCTTGTAAAAATCCATCAATCGAGACACACACTGTTGTTCTCCCTCTACCTTCCAGGCTTTCAATCTATTGGCCCTGATGCTCGCTAGGTCAAAAATAAAAATGTGGACTCGACCCGAACACTGAACGTGGGCAAGGAAGGTGTCCCACGAAGCCCTATGGTGAGTAAACACAAAGACCGTCACTTGGCATCCGCAGAAGCCTGCGCGCGAGCTGTCCCACGCTGTGGCGCTCAGGCCAAGGGGCAGGATCTCGTCATCGGGCCAAACTTCGACACGGCCTGCCCGGCTTTTGGAAGCAACGGAAGAAAAAGGCCGGAAGACAATCCGGGCCGAGCAAGTGCTCCAACACCTCGGACAACAGCGCTTGCGCCGAGCTTACTGCCGGCAACCCAAGCCCGCTGCAGTCCCTGCCGCCTGCTGCCCCTTGGCTGATGTCCCACAAGCAAGGACCAGAAGAGGGACTTCCAGGACAGCAAGAGGCTGTCACGTGGGGGTCAGGGAACCCTGCTTGGGGGGTCCCACATCTCACACACTTCTCCCTGAAGAAATAAGCCAGCATCAGCATTTGGTCACGGCAGTGCGCATGCCTGTGTCATGGTGGCTATAGGCAGTGGCTTGGACCAAACCTCAAACGAAACCAGGTCAGGTCTTAGCTGCTCTGGCCTCAAAACGAGCCCGAAAACAGGGTAACCACGTGAGCACAGGCTGTTTGTTTGCCTCACAGTAGCTGACTTTTTTTTAACTACCTGCGTATGTTTGCAGACCTTGGCAACACACAACCTGCAGCAATTTTACTTAGAGCACAAAACCCAAACTGGTGGGTCTGGCTGATGCCATTGATGCCATTCCCTGCACCCTCCCTTCTAGTGTCTGAAAACCTCCCCCCCACACACACCTGTGAGGTCCTTTCCCCTCCCTTCCCACCCCAACACCCCAGAATCCGATTCGGATTTCACGGCCACACACGCCTTGCCAGGCACATGATTATAATTCTTGGAAACTGATGAATGGATTTTTTTTTTTAAAAAAATCCGATTACCTCCAACAAGATGCTCAGAAGAGCCTTTCTAATTGCTTTCTGGAGCCGAAGCTGATCTATCAACAAGCTCCCTAATCAACTTAGCAAATGAGCGCTTATGGAGTTTAATACTTTAAAAGCACAGCCTTCCAGCCCAATTAATAAGTGGCTCACGACCACACGGATGGATTGGGCAGGACACGTTCTGCGTGCCAACTGTGGCTCGGCAAGGACAGTATCTCGGGCAGACTGTTCCCACTCTGATAAGGACTAGGGCACTCGCTTCTCGGCCTTTTGGCTAAGATCAAGTGTGATAACGACCAGGGCAGAGACGCGGGGAACCACTCATCCGGCGGGGACACTGTTGGGTCATTTCCTCCTGGCTCAGGGCAGTTTCATGTGCCTCCCAGCCCAGCATTCAGGGTCGAGCAGCAGGACTCTGGCTGCCTTACACAGACAGGGAAAAGAGTGAAATCAAACAAAACTAGAAAGGAAAAAAGAAGTCCTAATGAAATCATGTTGAAATAATTACGATTGTTCTTGGCACAACACAAAATGTCAAATGCTTGCTCTGCTCTGCTGTCATGAAGGATATCATGGAAGGAAGTGTGGAGGGGGTGAGTGGGTGAGATGCCCTGGGGAGAAGCAGCCACGCAGTCCTTACTCCGATCAGGGCAAGCCCCTGGGCCAGCCAAAGCAGAGCAGCCTGACCCAGGACAGGGAGAAGAACTTGAAGCACCTGCTACTTCTAACCATGGATACAGAGTCCGCCCACAGTCATGGCCAAACTGGCCCTCACACACAGCCAGGACCAGGGCATTCTACAAGGGCTCCGCTCTGCTCCTGGGGTGCTCAGCTGGTGGGGACGGGCAGCAGGGACAACAGCTTTCCGCTTTGCTTGGGGGCACATGGGGTCGGCAGGGGGCAGGGAAGAACTTGCAATGATGATTTCCACTCATTCTTAATAAAACGCTTAGTCTGTTCAGCATTCCATGAGCATTCCAAGGAAGCCACCCAGCCATTTCCTTTCCCCTGCTGACAGTCGTGTCTGCCTCCCGCAGGTGATATTTACCCACGACTTTCAAGGTGGTAGTGACGCTGGCGGACCCGAAAGTGTTATTGGCATAACACGTGAACACCCCGGAGTCACTGGCTCTCGCTGGGCTGATGGTCAGCGTCTCCTGGCGCTCGTACTGGAAGTCGCCCTGGTGCCAGCTGCTGCGTTTTACCTGGCCCTTCATCTGCTGGTTTCAGGGAAGGGGAAGAAAACAATCAAAAATTACCATATGATTTACATTCAGGACCTCCCCTAAATTAAAAATAGCAGCAATTAACATCTCCATATTAGCATTCACAATACAGGACTTAAGCAGGAAATACTGAAGCAGCCTGACACGGCTGGCCTGGCACCCTGCATGGTACTGAGACACTCATTATTCACCACTGGAGAAGAACGTTCGTCTTGACCAAAGTCGCAGTGCAAATGTCCAAGTCAGCATATGTACATCACAGGAACAGTTCTGTGATGTATTCTTTATCCTGCATCCCACAAATTGGGAAGAGACCCCTGAGGGCAGCAGCCTGGCTGTGCTTAACGCCTGCGCTTTGCAGGGACAGATGGAATGAGCGTGTTTACAGCTAACTTAGCACTCCAACCTGCACTTCTTCCCAGGCAGAGTTCTGGCTACCTCCACGGCAGTGGCAGAGACCAGGTGGCCCACAGACAAGCCGACCCCAAGGCTGAGCAGGGAAGGCTGTATTATCCCTTGAGGTAGCCCCATCCCACTCACACCGCCTCGCAATGAGGCACCAACAAACAATTTTCTGCATTTGCCAACAATACAGACATGGGCCATGAGTCTGACGGTCAAGGGCCCATTTGTATCTTGACACTGCAAAAAGTTTCTGAACAACTATGAAATTAAAAGTTGATTTTGGTGTCACATTCATCCTGAAACCCCAAAGATTTCACTTTATATGCATGGATTTCCAAAGAATTCTGCACCAAATGAAACTTAACTTTTCAATTCCATTGCTCATAAACTTGCTGAAATACTCCAATGCAGTGATTAGTAAAAAAAATAAATAAAATTAAAAATAATAACAATAACTAAGGAAACAAATAAATAAATGAAGGACAAGGGAGAGAAGAAAAGGACAGGAAAAGAGATGAGAAAGGGAGAAGGCTGGTGTCCCAGCAGTGGCCCAGCAGGAATCCCTCTGCCGGCTGGCCGCGTGCCGTGCTGGCTGGGTGAAGGACAACCCGGACACTGGCTTCCTCTCCCGGCACCTGGTGCTATGGATCTCTGTACCAAGGCAGAGAACAGGCAACCCGCTGCCTCCCAGACCTGACACCTTGCCTGTTCACTGCTCTCAACAGCCCAGGGGGCCACATCAGGGAACTGAACCAGAACCCAGGACGGAGCACGAATGAGGGGTGGGGATGAAGCAGCCAGGTCCAAAGGGACATGACAGCCACCGCAGAGCCAAAGGCTAGCACAGATCACGGTGGAAAGCCAGGGAAAGTCCAGGCGGTTCAGAAACCCCGGAGGAGCTAACCGAGACCGAAAAGCAAAGTCAACTCCACGGCAGTGATGCCCAAAGCAACAATTCCCACAACTCAAGTCGCTTTACCCTAAATCTCGTTTGCGGGCTAAACTTACCCTAAGTGGTCAGAATCGAATATCATGATGGATTTTTTAAAATAATTTGATAGTGCTAACAGCACTCCAAATTAAACCAAAGGATATCAATAAAAGATTCATGGGCAAAGCCTGGCAGGGCGCCAAGAGCCCCATCTGCAAGTCACACATTACATATTGCTTGCACGTGGTCTGCTTCTCTTTAACCCGTGGAGGCACACGCTGGGATTTCCCCAAAGAGCTCCTGCCACGGGCAGCACATCCAGCGATGCCAGTGGGTTAATGGGGAACTGCACGTGGGACTCCTGGGGAAAAAAAGGTCCCAAACAAAACTGCCCGGGGGCAATCTAATTTCCCGTCTCAGAGAGGCTAATTTTCACATTGCGCGCACACACACACACACACACACACACACACACACACACACACACACACACACACACACACACACACACACACACACACACACACACACACACACACACGGTCCAAGTGGCCCTCCTGTCTGAAATCAAAAACTTGAGAAAGCCAAGGATCATGGGACTGTGTAAGGTTAGCCAGGCATCCGTGTGGGAGCTACTGTGCAGACGGAGCTGGTTTCTCGAGCCACTGGTCCGGAAGAACAAGCAGAGAACACACGCCATTCTCTGTGTCACCGGCAGACCTCATTAACAGGACCTCATCCATCACAGGTCAGCGCCGTGGCCCTCTGTGCATGACGCTAATCACCACGCTTATGTTTGCAAAGAAGGTTTGCAATGGGCACGGAGCTGCCAACGTGGGGAATCATGAGAAAGAAGACACAGCAGTTCTTTTTCCAGTGTGATGCCTACACACGGGTTACTTCAGAAAGTTCACCAAAAATGGAAGTGAAAGTTATTGGATGCAAAAAAAAAAAAAGATTTCCATGCAAATGTTTGAGCATCTCACGTGTATCACGAAGAAAAACACAGGGGTAGCTAATGAGCTGGCTGGTCAAGATGACTTGGGGGAAAACACGAAACGTTCAGACAATGGAAATAAACTGCAAAGAAAAACTGGCAGGAGATCATTTAAAGATCCTACTTATCAGTAACAGGAGAGAAAAACAAAGAAACCTTCAAATACAGCTAGCAAAAATCGATTGAAGATATGCCCAACGTGGTAGCTGACGGACAGAAGGCATTCAATGTGCGTTTGTTAGATGAATGAGGGCCTGAATAGGTCGGCACGTTTCAGGTTAAAGATAACCATTATATTAATAGCCGCTAAAACAAACAGAACACCATTAGCAAGGAGTCCCAGGTGATGAGCCTGGAGGAAGGCCCAGATGCAAGCACCAAAAGAGGCAGCTCTCAAACACAGCATACGCTTTTGGGTTAAACAGCCCAGATGATTTACTGTCTTTCAATATAAACAGAAAAAAACAAACTCAGGTGCCAGCTTCCAGCTTCCAGCCTGGGCGGCGTCAGGAACGGCTTGACGTCAGCAACTCAGCAACTCAGTTTCCCCCTGAATCCATCATGCAAAGAAGCAACTTGGTGGAGTAACACAAAGCTTGAGGTCCCTCGGGGTGCTCTAAACAAATGCCCCCACCTGCCCACGTGGGGCAGGCTGCAGGTGCCCCCGGACAGACCCTTACAGAGCAAAAGGCCGAAAGCCCCCACGCAGCACAGCAGGCACTCACCTGGCCGTTCTCCTTCACCCACGTGGATCCCACGGACGTGGACACGTCCTTGATGGTGCAGGTCACGGTGAACTCCTCCCCTTCTCGAAGCAGATAGCTCGTTTTGGACACGGACACCACAGGTATGGCTTTGATGGCTGCGACGAGAAGAGAGGTGGCCTTCACACAGCCCGTTCCAAGACAGCACGCAGTTCTAACTGAACTCTTTTCTCCAACCGTCTACAGCTTACCCTGCCATCTCTTACAAAAAGCATGGGATACCAACCTACAATTACCCCTTGGGTATGTGAACCCATCAGTGGGCATCCTTCAAACAAACTGAAACAGCTACTGTGAGAATCCAGCACTTCTGGGAAAACATTTTCCCGAGACAAGAAGGGGTTGGCATTGTGGCCCACATCCCATCACAGCACCCTTCATGTCCTGACTGCTCCACTTCCGACCTAGCTTCCTGCTAACATCTTGGGAAAGCAGCTGGAAATGGCCCAAGTCCTTGGGCACCTGCACCCACCTAGGGGGCCAGAACCAAGCTCCTGGCTTCGGCCTGACTCAACCCAGTCATTGTATAGCCATTCAGGGAGTCCACAGCAAGTGGAAGAGCTAGCTCGCTCTCGCTCTCTCTCTCTCTCGCTCGCTCTCTCTCTCTCTCTCTCTCGGACGCCCCCTCTTCTCCCTTCCTCTAGGAACAGCTTGCTTCTTTACTTCTGACAACCTTGACCTTGATGGTTTCACAAGGATGTGACCACGCAGGATGACGTGCCCTCACCAAGGCGACCCTCTCTCAGGCATGGCAAAAACAAGACCCAGGTTTTAAACAAGCCCATCTCCCCCCTAATGTCAATGAGCACACTTTTTCAAAAGCCTTAATTTAAAAAATAACAAAATCTCAACAGCTGAATGTCAGCCGGTATTCAGTTAGATACCCTCAGAGACACAAAACCGATTACCTTCCAGCCCCTACAACTGCTCCACACTGCCACAGGAATGACAGTTCATGGTTCAGTTCAGGTCTTGACTGGCTTGAGGATGCATTAAAACTACAATCAAAATCAGTTGGAGAGCACGGTGGCTTGCATGCGACACAGTGAGTGAAAGAATGAGTGGCCTGGAGAGGAATCTTGGCCAACAGCGGATTAAAGGTTCCCAGCGGAGTCTCTGAGAAGGAGCACTTGACGCAGCGAGGAATTGGAGCAACCCAAGCCAGCATCAGGGAGACTGTCCCCAGCACGGCCCAGGCCAGCATCAGGGAGACTGTCCCCAGCACGGCCCAGGCCAGCATCAGGGAGACTGTCCCCAGCACGGCCCAGGCCAGACCCACCTGCCAGAGGGAGAAGACCCCAGCAACAGAGTGATGGTGAAGCTGGGCACACTGGGCTACAATTGGGGAGACCATGGGGGGGTGAGAGAGGGGGCCAGAGAGGGAGAGAGGCGGCGAGAGGGACAGAGGAAAAGAGATTGGGAAAGGGTGAAGAAGGAGCAGGGACAGAGAAGGAGGGAGGAAGAGAGGCAGGGGAGAAGGGAGAGAGGGAAGAAGGGGAGAGAAGAGAGGGAGTGAGGGATAAAGACAGAAAGGGAGGAGAGAGACGGACAGGGGGAGGAAGGGAAGGAGGGAGGAAGGTGGGGGGGGAAGGGAGGGAAAGAGGGAGGGAGAGAGGGGAGAAGGGAGCGCAAGGATGGAAGGAGGGAAGGGAGAAGGGAGGGCAAGGATGGAAGGAGGGAGGGCAAGGATGGAAGGAGGGAGGGGAGGAGGGAAGAAGAGGCCGCACCTGCTCTCACTTTGAGGATGAACTTGTCAGACTGCACGGTCACGCCCTCCCGCACTGCAGTGCAGCGCACACACAGCCGGTGGTAGGCACGCTTCACGTTCCTGATGGTGACGCCGGCCTTGGGGTCCGTGGCGAAGGTCAGATCCCTGGGGAGGGGCTTCCCGTCACACTCCTTGAGGGAGTAGTTGTTCACGAGCGGGTCCGTCAGGGGACAGCGGACCAGTGTGTCCGAGTCTTCTCTGCCGTACAGGGGGAGGCCGACGAGAAAGAGCTGCTTGGGATCTACAAACACATGGAGTGTTAGTGGTCCCCGTGGCCACCCTGACGTCCAGGGTCCCTAAAGGGTCAGCGACCAGGGACCAGCCCCACCCGTGCAGCCAGAGGCAGGACTGGTCTGTGCAGAACTGGTAAGAGGTAATGTGCAGACTTCCACGTGCCGGGCACTCAGCAGGGGCTGGTACCCATTTTTTATCTTATTGAATGTTCCAGACACACCTGTGTGACAGGTGCAGGCGGTGGAGAAGCCACTAGTGCGACACTGGGAAGTGTTTCACAGCTGAGCGAGTTTACAGGAATATGCAGCCATTCCAGCCTAACTCACCCCAACACTGGGCCAGCACTGTGGTCCACTAAACCCCCGCCTGATTCTCAGCATCTCACACAGGTGCAGGTTCAAGTCTGGCTGTTCCCCGTGTGGCCCAGCTCCCTGCCAACGCACCACCGCAGGTAGAGGGTGGTGGCCCACGTGCCCGGGCCCCTTTAATCCACATAGCTCAAAAGACAGGCTCTGGGTTTGGCCTGGTCTCACCCCTGCTGTCACAGCCCTCAGTGGAGGGAACCCGCAGATGGAAACATCTCTACTTGTTTTTCAAATAAAATAATAATTGCTTAAAATATCAAATGTTCCCAGATCTGACACTTTCAGAAGGCCAAAATGCTGCTCAAAAAGTTTCAGATTTAAGCCAGTTCAGATATCAGGTTTTTGGATTTGGGATGAAATCTGCAAAATGCAGCACCCCTAAAATGGCAAGGCCCACAAATGGTTTGCTCACACAAACCCAGTGTGATAGCAAAGTGAAGCCTGCAGCATCCCAAGATCAGGGCACTATCATCAACAGGCAACCCGCTTCGTGTCTCAGCTGCTCCACTTCCCATCCAGCGCCCAAAGAAGCACAGCCCAACAGCTTTGACTCCTGACACCCACATGGGAGACCTGGCAGAAGCTCCTGGCATGGCCTGGCCCAGCCCGTTGGACCCATTTGGGGAGTGAGCCAGCAGGTGGAAGATCGCTCAAGCTTCTCCTTGCTGTCACTTGCTCTTCTCCCTCAAGAGCACCTGTTGTTAGAGCACTCGCTGCTTTATAACAGGTGACACCCCAGCAGCTGCAGTGAGGTGTGCGGCTCCAGACACTTTGCTCCAGCAGGGAACTGCATGCAAGGCGGCAGCACACCTCTGTCTGCACACCAAATGCAAATGTGTGGTGGGCACCTCTGCAAACCAAGGTATTCCAGATGCATGGAGTGGGGACTTGTCAGTGTCAGAACAGATGGCAGGTGCCTTCCTTGTGAGCACGAGGGGACACACCGCCAGGCCTAGCCCCCAGGTACCCTGATTCACACAGGCCAGGACCAAGCTTCAAGTTCCGTGCCCACCTGGCATGGCTGCCTCCTCCCCAGAGTGGAGATGCCACAGCTGGAGAGGTGGGATTTATGCTGAAGCCACCTTTGAGTGTGCCTACCATCTGGAGACCATGGGGGTCAAGAGGACAGTGTTGGGGCCCACCTGGCAGGTCCCCTCGCATTCTTGGGGGACATGCACCCACTGCAAGCAGAACACTACTGCCTGGCCAGTTCTCTGTGGCTACAGAGCTGCTGCCCAGAACCCAGCTGTGGCTATCGACACCCTCCTCCGTTCTGCTGCCCACGCAAGGCCAGACAAACCCGACCAGGAAAGGGCCAGCAGGTTCACCCCAGGCAGGTAGGCGTGGCCATCAGCCTGTGGCAGTGGCGGGTGGGTGTTGGGGTACGGGGGTGGTGGCAGCCCATCGAGTGATTTTTTTCTAGCATTCACTCCTAAGGAGTGGGCCATGCCCTTCGGAGTGCTGCCCTGCGCTGGTCCCCAGGGCGTTGCTGACACTCAAGCACCAGGACCAGTGGGGGAACAGACTGTCTACGGGTCTTGCACACACGTGTCACACTCACCTCTGACAAACACATAAATGGAACTGCTCAGGCCGTCTGCGTTGGTGCAGGTGTACTGCCCTGTGTGGGCGGCCTCTGCTTTCTCCCGGACCCAGTGCGAGTTCCTGTGTTCACTTTGCTGGCCCAGACTCTCAAAAGTCCACTTGACGAAGCCGAGATCGGCACACGTGAGCGAGAGCTGCTCGCCGGCGTCCAGGACGAGCTCGGCTTCCGCAGGCTGGATGGCGGGGGGAGCCAGTCGCCCCGGACTCGCAGATGGCTGCGACGTGCCTGCCAAGAACAAGGGGCCTGTGAGTACGAGCGAAAAGCATCTCTTCCAACACCGAGTCCCATCGTCTGTGTACTCTACCACAAAAATAGGACCAGGCCGCCCTGTTTATGGCTAGAAAGAGAGCGTGTCTCAAGCTTCTTGAGACCATTTGCAAAATTCCGTCATTTTCAGCAAACTCGCCACTCAGCCAGGAGTCACGCTGGCAAGGCTGAGGTGGGGCGCCAGGGCTCACCGTGGGTTATCTCAGTGCCAGCCCCGCTGCAGCCCTGGCACGGCGACACTCGGCAGGATCCGATCATGACACCCCCGGCGTGTGTGGCCCCAGCCGTGGAGCCACAGTTGCTTTGTACCCATCCTTACACTACACTGCATGGCCTGCTCAACCCAACCACCAGCCAGGAGTGTCGTTCAAGATCAGACTGTGAGGTGCCCCGAGGGCAGTCAGGTGGAAGAGAGACGCAAACTTCAGACCCCTGAACGCAAAGCCGGGGCCTCAGGAAACACACCTCTGACAGTCACTTGTTCATTCATTCACAACATCCCCACGCTGCAGTCTGGCCCACAAGGACATCACGCCACGTGTGGGTGACACGCAGAACCGATCTGCTCTCCAGAGTCTGAACAGTGACCTGCTGAGGCGCCACAGTGGGGAATGCTGGCTGGGAGATTCAGCGCTGAGCTGAAGAACAGGCAAGGTGAGCTGAAGCTGGACCAGGCCGGGGAGGGGAGAGGGCTGACACGGGACGCCAGGGCAGCTGTAAAGAAACAAGCCTGGCTGCAGGCAGAGCTCCCGGTGGGGAAGGGGAGGGGGTGACACTGTCTTGGGGGGACACGGTGTGAACCTCGGAATGGCATCTGGCGATCACAGGGACCCACTGTAGGTTTTCCTGTGGACACGTGCCAGGCGCAGCAAGCAGCAGAGACTCCAGGGGACACAAGGGGATGACAGGAAGGCACTGGCCGGCAGGCAGTAGAGACAAGAACTGTGGCCAGGAGCTGAAAAAACGCAAAGACACAGCACATGTCCACACTGTCCAAGGATGCAGACAACCCAGGCGCGGGCAGCAAAGGTCCCTGGGGAAGGCTGCTCCAAGTCACTTCCGTGGACAGTGGAGGGGACGGCTGCTGGGTACTGGCCATGCACATGTGAGGCAGGAAACAAGGTCAGCCTGAGCCCTCGGCGGACAGGAGGTAGCCAGGAGCAGGGGGACATGGGGGCAGGGATGAGCCAGGGTGGGAACTGAGGGTCTTTCCTGTAGCCTAGTGGCTCCTGGAGACACTGCTTGTGGCAGCAAATGGAGGGCTCTGAGCATCCCGTGGAGTAAGGGAGCTGTGGAAGGCGCAGGGCAGTGGGGTGCTTCTGAGCTGAGTGGGGAGCTCAGCCAGACCCAGCAGGTGGACGGCTCAGTGCAGACACGCTCCAGGGTCACAGCTACAGGTGTACAAGCCTGAAGAGCCGGCGAGCAGAGCATAGGGGAGTGTTGGCACAGAGGAGGTGTCGGTGGGCAGCTGCTGCAGAGTCCTGCAGGAATGCGTGAGGCTCAGCTCTCTTCCCACACTTCCTGTTTACCACCACACACACGCCCCACCCCTCATCAGCAGTGTTAACAGCACACCTCAGATCAAAAGCAGCCTTGATGTGTGAGGGACAAGTGCAAGGCCAATGGTACCACAGCAGGTGCCTGAGCTCCAGCCAGCAGGGTGATGCACAGGGACGCAGGGGACTCCCCGTGTCTGCAAGGGCCACGCAGCACCACACGGCAGCAACAGACATTGGTATCCATGTCTCAACGACCAGACCTTCCACCAAAGGAGAGGGGCTGGCACTGTGGCATAGCGGGCAGAGCCATCGCCTGTGGCACCAGCTTCCAGCTGGGCACCAGTTTCAATCCTGGATGCTCCAGTTCCCATCCAGCTCCCTGCTCATGTGCCTGGGAAAGCAGCGGATGGCCCAAGTTCTTGAGCCCTTGCACCCCCGTGGGAGACCGGGAGGAAGCTCCTGGCTCCTGGCTCCAGGCTTCAGTCCAACTCAGCTCTGATCACTGTGCCAATTTGAGGGGCTGAACCAGCAGATGGAAGCTCTAACTCTGCCTTTTAAGTAAACGAATAAATCTCCAAAGGAAAAAAAAAATTAAAACAGCTGTGAGCTGTACTGATAAGGGCACTTCAAAACACAAGAGTGGGAAAGGCTACAGGCAGATGCTTACACAGTGCACAAGATGCAAAAGCCGTGCGTGCTAGAGTCCTCCAAGTGTGAGAGCCCCTGCCGAAAAACACAGCACGATTTTCAGGGCACTTATCTTCCTTGCTCACTGTCGCAGACGTGGCCCCGTACCCCACACTCCACACACAGAGCTGCTTATCACCACGGCCAGCCAGCCCCGACTCGCCCACTTCCCATCAGTGTGAGGGGGTCCCATAGCCCCACTGGCTCTGCAGGAAGGAAGAGCCCCCGGCTGGCCCCCAGGACTCCAGCCCCTTCCACTCCTGCAGACATCGGCCCAGCCTGAGAGGGACCCTGATCTGCAGGAAGATTCCCCTGGCAGCCCCTGGCCACCCCCTCAACTCTGAATTATTTTTAGAATTGAGATGGATTAGTGCTGTGGCACAGAGGGTGAGCCTCAGTCTGCAGCACCAGCATTCCCTATGGGTGCCAGTTCAAATCCCTGCTGCTCCACTTCCCCTCTCAAGCTTGCTGTGAATGTGCAAGGAAAAGCAGCGGCAGCTGGCCCAAGTGCTTGGACCCCTGCACCTACGTGAAGACCTGGATGAAGCTCGTGGGAACGGCCTGGCCCAGTGCTGGCCATGGCAGCGGCAGCCATTTGGGGGAACAAATAAATCTTTTTAATTTTTTTTTTTTAAATTGAAGTCAGAGAGACAGCGATCTGTCTCCGGGTTCACTGCCCAAGGCTCACAGTGGCCAGGTCTCAACCACACTAAAATCAAGAGCCTGGAGCGCAATCCAACCTCCCCGTGGGTGGCAGGGACTCAAGAACTGGCGCCCCACCCACTGCCCCCCAAGCTGCACATGGGCAGAGAGGGGACTGAACCCAGGCAGCCTGCTAAGGGCTTGGCAGGCCCGAGCAGTGGGTTAACCGCCACACTGTGTGCCTGCTCCCACACCACCTTGCCAACAACCCCACCCTCTCTCCCGGAGCAGGGGTGGCAGGGCTAACACTGACCACACACAACCAAACAGCATTTTCACGGCACTGATTTCCAGCTCTTTGTCACCATCCGTGCCACACCCAGGACCCCATCAACCCTCCGCCGCCCCGTGTGCACAGCCTCCCACGGAAGGTGCTTTCTGTAGACCCGGGGCGGTGGCACCTGTGCTGGCCAACGCCCACCACGCAGCCACAGCTCATCCTAACCCGTGTCCCCCTCACTCCCCAAGCTATGCCCACACCAAGGTCTGGGGGCCCCAAGGTGCTTGTCCCCTTCAGTCCGTGGATGCAGAAAGCTGTCCCCAGTGCCCGCTCCGCTGCAATGGTCTTATACCTTCAATAAACAAATGAGACTCATGGGGGTTGTTGTTTTATAAATAGAGATTCATTTGGGAGTAACATTGATAAGAGGTACTCCAACCGGGCTTTGAATGCTCTGACATGATGGCATATCTTGAATGTGTCCCCCAAAGAGCGAGCACACATCGGCTCTGTGTTTTCTGCCCACCGCGGCTTTTGCCTTTGAGAGTGGATTTCCCTAATTATGTGCGGCCAGGGCGAACAGGATGGAAAATACGTTTTCCCTTCCCTCGACACATGTTAAAAAAAATAGGAGAGAGAAGACGGCAAAACCCATTGCTCTGGGCCCCACCTCCTATAATAATAAACTCTGGGCTGGGATCCCCGGGAGGTGGAAATAAACACTGCACCCTCGGAAGCCAGCCCTCGCTCTCCAGGACTGAAGGCTGCCCTGATGGGGAGGCACCGTCCTCTTCCCCGCTCATCAGCCTGGGCACTCGCTGGCAGTATGAGATCCGACCTCAGCCCACGTGTACATTCATGCACCCGTCACACACACACACGCGGGAGGGCGGCCTTCATGTGGCAGCCTGGAGACGGCTGATCCCTGCAGCTGACCCGGGGCTGGGAGGAGAAGGGCCAGAAGAAGCACCGATCCACGAGTGGCTTCAGTCTGGGATGGGCAAAGAAGGTTCTAGAAGTGGGTCACGGAGGAGGGTGCAGAACATGGTACGTGTACTGAATGCCACGGCCTGGGCCTGCATCTGGTCCACTTCAGCAAATAAGGTCTGGTCCAGGGTCGGCACACCTGTGGACGGCTCCACTCCCCCCCATCTCCTGGCCTGGGGGTCCCTTAGGGTGCTAGGGAGTGGACCAGCAGAGGCTGGTGGCTCGTTCTCTCTTCCTCGCATCAACAGATCTTTAAAACCCTACATGGTATGTTATATCTATTTTACAGGAACTCATCCAGGGCCCCACAAAAGCCTAGGATGCCCCCTAGTCACCTGCAGGATCCAGTCCCTAGGGCCCCGGCAGGAGGTCTTCGGGGCTGCTGGCAATCAGCGCCCTTCAGCAGCGGGGCCCATCCCCAAGACCAGCCACTGCCCCGGCACTTCTAAAGCGAGCAGCCTTTAGAAGCATCATTGTCCAGTTCATCGCTCAGCCAACTCACTCACATGTTCCCACCCCACCAGTCCTGTGTCTGAGTTGACCTGACACCTCCTTCCGCACCCCTGCAAAGTCACGCATGAGGTCCACATTAGCAGACAGAAAAGAGGCGAGTGTGTGCACACGGGGTGCGTGCTGACTGCGGGTGGCAGCAACTCTACCCTGACCCTGGGAGAGGACAGAGGCCCTCCATTCACAAGCGCTCAGACTCAGCAAGCGCCAAGCCTACTGTGTGGTCCAGGACAAGGAGGGGGCTTAGAACTGCAGAACGGCCTGGCACTGTGATGTTGCAAAGCCACCCCCACAACACCAGCATCCCACACGGGCACCAGTTCGAACACTGCTCCACGTCATCCAACTCCCTG